TTTCTTAGAATGTTTGTTCTACAAAATACAATTTGCTTAGAAGTTTCTCACGAAGTAATGTCCACTAACTAGTGTATCACATTGTAAATCACAGAGATCATGAATATTAAATTTGATTACTGCTTGGAGCTATGATTGTTGATGACGTCTGACACATTGTTATCAAATATATCTGTGCAGTCAGTCCAATCCCTATCGAAGTATTTACCGGAATATTTCCACTTCTTCCCGTCAAACTTGAACCATCTGTAATAGAGAAGACTCGATTGACCACAGCATCATGTATGACATACAATGGTTCATTCCCTACACCTTGTTTCCGACGACTGCGTTGACTCTCCTCCAACGCATGCTTAGCAGATTCAGCCCGATCTAAAGACACGGTACTGTTCAATAAAACACATCAGCCCCTACCACATAGCCCGTTTTCTAGAGCTACTATATCGGGTCTGAATCGACTGTCAGTTGGTGGCAGCTTCTTCCTCAACTCATCTGTTAATTCGTTTAAGCTCAAAACAAAGGGTGTAAAGAAGAAATTCTGAAGAAGCCAGTGGAAAACAGAGCATGAGAAGATGAAAAACCTTTTCATAATTAGAAACGAGTTGGTTAGCTGTCCACAATACTTTTGAGTCTGAGAGGAGGGGAGCCATGTTTTCCTGCAAGAAAACGTATTGACTTCGACAAAAACGAGAACGAATTACATTCCCAGGCTGTAAGCTCGTCATGAAAAACTTAATATAACTTGAGTGATTGAGTTTGAAAGTTTCGACTGGACATGATGCAAGGAAATATGACCAATTGCCATATATGGCTCTTAACTTCGTTTTTCTACAAATCAGAGAAGAAACTCTGGAAGTACATGAAAATTACAAACCCTTTCTCTATGTATCCATCAATATGAACATCTGTGGATTTTACGTGCCAACCACGTCCAGCGTCGACTGACAAATTTATTGAAAGACCAGTTTGGACACAATTTACATTCAAATGGCCTGTCTGTAAGAAAAAAAGGAAATAACTAGAGTCGAGGACTCTCTACTAACCAAGTTCATATACATTTTACCCATCATCACGTTATAGATTGTGCATGCAGGTGCCATGTAAGTGTATACTTCATTCCTACTACAACAGAAAAACCTTTTCCAAAGAGTATGTAAATGAAACCTTACTTGTGCAATGTTAACTCGAAACCTCCTTCAGGTGTACAGATGAGTTTATTGATTCCTAAGGACATCTTTGGTGACACAGTCGCCTGAATAAGATGATCTTCTCATTCTACAACGTTGAAAATACTTCAATTGAAAAGTTCTTTCCTTCTACGTGTATTGCTGAAATTGGAGGATGATGAGAAACCTGCTCGGCGATGAATCGAACACCATTCCTTAAAAGTAAAATTGAATTATCGAGAAAATGAGGAGTGAATCTGGTTTATTGCAAATTACTGAAAAGGAAAATTCAATAAATACCTTTCGACTTCAAAAGTCTCGAGAAGGAGAGGATTGAAAGGCTTCGATAGTCGATTCCAATTTGAAGAGAGAGCTGCGACAGTGAAAGCGCCAATATACTGAAATCTACGGAAGATGCACTTGACCAAAAAATCTAACAAACGGATATTCTCTCTACGGGATCATCTTTACTAGCAGCTATTTCTATCAAATCCACATAATCCATAAATTCAGATAAACGTTGAAGAAAGCATAACGGTTCGTTCAGGAAAACGGGAACGGAAAAGCGGGAAAAATCCTATAAAAACGAAAAAATAATCAGAAAGAGATAGAGTTAGCTTAATACTTTTCCGATGTTAGGTTTTATGATTTCCCAAATTGAATAATCCTCTCGTGGCCTTAACTGAGCCGGAAGTGCTCGTCTGAATGAGTCTGGTTGTAACATGAAGGAAACTAATTTGCAAAAAAAAACCTCTGGTTTTGGTCATATTTGAGAGAACGAGGTACACTCGTAAGACTATTCATCAAGGCTGAAAGCATTAGTAGTAACTTGTGATATTGGTGTACATGTCAAGCAAGGCATTCCTTTCGGATGGAATGGAACCGCGTTCGGCAACAAATGAAAAATTCAAAAGCTGGCCGGAAGAGAATTGAAACTATGGACATAGAGACAGAAAATGACTGAGAAGATCGGAGAAAACTGATAGTTCTTCTTTAATACAACTACAAACAATGCTGGACAAACATGAGTTGTCCGAGGTACATATACAAGCATAAAGTATTGATTAAAATAGGAAACACATGAGAGGCAGTCATGAATAGGAGCTGTAAAACTTGCCTTCTCCCAAATAGGAATACGAAAAAGAAACAAAGATGACCGAGAGATCAGATTTAGCAGGATTACGTTTGATCAGCGCTCTCAAACGTAGTAAGTTGCAAAATGAACAAGCCGGCTATGCGATTTCTAGATGAATAACTTGGGAGATCTCGCTGTCTGAGAGTAAGTGTGTGGAAATAAAATTCAGAAGACTGATGAACATGGGCTGATCGAGAAGAACTTGATCAACATGTCATCATCATCTTCATTGGTCAATAGCCAACGGAAACGGGTAGACGACTTCAAATATAAATGTTATAATGTTTTCAGACATAGTATGGACCGGTTTTAGTATAAAAGAACAATAGAAACACGTATGGATTTTAGGATAAAAATATAAAATTTCAACTAGAACACTTCCAATCAACCAAATAAGCACAACGAATTTATGATAATTTATAGAAAACTATAGCTTTTCCTAATTTGACGTGGATGTTGACAACAGCAGACAATATTTTTTGGATTACTGGATATGAGATTACGGTAGCGGTCTGCGTACGCAAGTGAAAGCACTCCTCACGCACTATTGCGTCCGCTTTTTCCTCCTAAGTAAATTATATAAAAACCTTAATGTCTATAATTATATGTTTTAAAGTAACTATTCGATTGTTCAACTAATGATTTTAGGTAAATATGCCGATGTTTCATGTGTCCAGAAGCACGCGTCTGATCAACTACTGGTCGGTGAGTGTATTTCATGATTTTCATTACCTTGTTCACAGTGATTGCTTTTGCATAGCTATCATTTCATAGTTTAACGTTAACGGATGGTTTGTTACTGTTTTTTTCCAGACACTACCACGTCGTATGTTGAAGCAGTACCCCGAGCAAACCATCTTCTTCTCCACGTTCGGTCTTGCAACTTTGATCATCGCTGGTTATAAGCTCCAAAACTTCAGTGCTGAAGGAGGTAGGTTCCGTTTCAATGTTCGCTTAATGATGAGTATGTTCTAGCCAAGCCTTGGTACAGAGGTTATTATGATGTTGTTAGGCCCAATGATCCTATTGCCTTGAACTGGAGAAAGCCAGAGGTAACTTATACTTGATATTCTTTCTGTTATCGTGCGTGTTCAGGAGTACCCAGCTCCATACCTTTCTTCGAAAGTCGAAACTGCTCATTAGGATGTAGAGAGTAAGCAGATATGTGTAGATTACGTTTAAAACAAATAAATAATTTTTGACTAACTTTTGTAATGTTTCAAGATCATTCCGCTCATTCACTACTCAGAGAAGCTTTCATGATAGAGAGCTATGTTGGAAACTCTATGAACATCTATGTAGTGGAGATGGTTTAAGGATAACGAACACATTTATGAGAGCAAGAGCAACAACATGATTATGTAAGACTACACCATAAACGGAGAAACATCAAAATAGTCCGTCAAACTGAATCTTTTTCATACCTGACCTGGATGACCTCTGGAGCACGAACTACTTTCAGGGAGTTGCACAGCTAACCATCTCAACATGACAGAACTCATCAAAATATTTCTAGATTCCTGCAATCTCTCTAGAAGTTGCCGTGTATCTCTTAGTTTGTATGCATGCTCTTTGTTTTTCTGCAAAACTGAAATATCATTCACGTCTCTCTCGTATGAAACCTTCCTTTGAAAGATCCTCGATCAGAGTACCTTTCTATCTTTTTTGCAAAATGTTTAGCCTTCTGGTTTTCAACAAAATCATTTTGTCATGCTTCATTCCCATTATCAACAACATTTTGTATGGATAACTCCAATCATCACGCAATCATAGCTCACTTCGCTCTCAACCTTTTCTTCGATCGAGTGTGTGGTAGGTGTATGAATTCCTTTTACTATTGGATGGATCAACGAGAAATACCAAGAATTTCAAGATCTTCAATACCCATCAAGGGAAAGATGAGCTCACGAACTCACAAACTAATCACAACATTACACTTCAGTTTCATTTGAAACTTCTTATGAAATACAAAAGCTTCCGAACCTTCCACGTGTTGACTTCTGAAGACGGGGAGATGAGAATGTAAGGAAAGTAGAGAATGACCTGTTGGCAAACGCTATATTAATAACTATCTCACGGAGAAATCGGCAATCTCAAAATGCCAAGAGGTTGGATGAGATAGTAGTTCTCCATTCTTTGTCCATTTTTTATTCCCAAATAGTTTTGCAAGAGAAGCAAAGATGTTTCAAGCTAGCAAAGTGAGATGAACGAACAGGCCGAACCTTTCTGAAGTTAGAATTCTTAGCAACTGCGCAAGCCTTGAACGGTTATTGGGAAGGATATTCCATTGTTAAGACTCACTGTCAAGGGTTCATCGAGATCAAAACGAATATTCCCATCAGAGTTGTAGTTTTCATTTTTCTTGAAACAAAAATAGCTCACCAAGGCTTTCACATAGTCTAGAAAAACAATGTTTCATAGTTATTACTAGAGATTCCAAGAATTTGATCAAATAAATGTACTCACTGTGCACTCCTCATCGTTTTCAATAGTTGTGAGCTAGAAGGAGAACTTGTTGATGATGTGATCGCATGTAGCTTCGTTAGATTCAGTGAATGAAGATGCTTGTAAGCCTTTCAGGATGAGCAACATCTGAGAAATAGGCATATGTTAGTGATAAACTAATTACTACCTATGTGAGGCCATGGATATCAAAGGTATTTTGATTATTTCCTCATATCTTGTCACCAAGTGGACGTAAGGGTCTTCCGTTGATTCTTTGACCAGATGATAGTCCTTACATGGTGATGAACAATGTAAGAAGCTTATAAGAACTTTCAAAAAATTAAGTAAAGAACATAAAAATTTGATGAAAAGGTTTCGAACCTTTCTCCAGAAAATATTTGACCTTTTTGAATTTTCTAGAACCTTTTGACTTGTTCTGTGGTCCATCTTTTACAAGGTGTAGTTTGATCACACACTGTGCTGATGCGACTGTCAGAGAACCGAGGTTTATGGCGCTGGACTCACATCCATCATCTTTCAGATGGCTTAGAGAGACTGGAGATGAATTTTTAAAAAAGAATGAAATAATACAGATTCTTGAATATTGTATGCGCAGAGACCTTCTCAACATTTGGAACACATGGCTCTAGTAGTTCAATCTTGGAGAGAGATTTCAAAAATGTCTTTCTCAGTCTCTGTTTTGTAACATTGTTGGTTATAAGCTTCAGAACTGCAGTGCTGTCTGTGTAGGTAGACCACTCAACAACTTGAGAACAAAATAGAAGAAAAATGGTTTCCTTATGACTTTTTGAAAATAATTGGAAGGAATAACGGGGAGACTTCAAAGCTGTGTCGTTCAGAGGTCGTGGTTATTAAGGCTAAGATAATTAGCCTATCCAGGTTAAAGACACCATACGGACGGTTTCAATATTCGATACGGAGTACAATTACTTCAAGAGGCATTCCCTTATATAGGTAGCAGCTCTCAAATTTCATCGATTCAGAAAGGTTGGTAACAACCTGCAGTTGGAGGCTATCAGCAGCATATTGCTGGATTAGGTGAACCGTTTGAAGAAGCTTCTCTTATTTCCATATCTGTTTCCTACTACTCCTATTTTCCATAAACAAATGTTTATAAAAGCCTTCTTGCTATTCTGTCGAGCGCCCAGTACCATTAGGGGCGGACCCAGTAATAGGCGTGCTACGCTCCTTGCCTTGTCTGCCTGCCGGCGTTACGAGATATAATCGGCGTGCAGAGAAATACAGGAGGTTTCAGAAGGTGAATCTCATCTGGTGTGGGTGAAACAACATGTCTACTACCTTATTCGAATCATTATCCATATCAAGCTGTTTAACTATCAGAAGTATACTTGTGCTACTACTACTATCCGTGGCTGATGCCTATTCTCTATGTAACCAAGTAAGTTTCCAAGTTTCTAGCTCACTTTCAACTTGCTCGTTCTTTCATACACAACTCATCGTTCACTACTTTTTGAAAAGCTAATTGTTTTTACGTTTTGCTCGTTCGAAGTTCTTTTACAACCAGCTACTGTTCGCTTGAGCATTCCATAGCTTATCTGGCAGAGTTGATAAAGACAAATGCTGGTTAAACGTTTTTTGTTGTTTTGCGAAAGTTTATTGAAATGATCATAGCATGTTATAACTTCAATACGAGAATGATGTAAACCGGTATTCGGAAACTAATCGGCTTTTCCTTACTTCCATCCATCTATCCATATATGGGTTTGAGTCTTGTTGGGCAATCTAAGCATAGCTGATATACAGATTGGGTTCAACAGCTTATGGCTTTGCATTCTAGATGAAGCTTTCCTTGAATATTCGTGAATTCCATTGACTTGACAGAGAACAGATCGTAGAGGCTCTTTATAAATGCATAGTTAGTCAAGTAATTAATCATAATTATAACTATTCTATTATATCTTTCGTTTCTCTTTGTTCAACTCCAACTCACTTGTTACTCTTTGTTGAAGATGATTGTCCTGCTCTTTCATCTAACTCACTTACTTTCGTCAGTCATCATCTAAGTCATTCAGATGAACAGAATGTTCAAGACGTACTGGCTGATCTAGATTCAATGATTTTTACCGGAAAATGGTTGACATCCAAATATGGTCTTTTGTTACCTCTCCCTCTCTCTCTTTCTCTCTTCGTTCATCATCATTTCCCATATGTCTACCTTCTATCTATCTCTCGATTAAGTTTTGCTTGACAGTTCGACCTATCGGAATACCATCTATGTCTTTTCACGACTGAATAGTTCTGAGACGATGGATACTTGTTGCAATTTGACAGTCCCACACAATCCAAAGATTTAGTTGATTCCTGTTTTTGTTCTGTAATTAATCTTCCAGCTATATTGGGCTAGTGCTCTTGAAAATTGTATGACGCTTGTCTTGAGCCATTTCCGACAAAACATATCCGGAAGTCTGCCAACGGAAGTTGTGCTCTCATCTGAAGACTGAAAGGCAAAGAAGCGGAAACTTCAGATTAATCATCATAAAGCTCTTGACACTCATATTACTTTCGAAACTAAACTTCTTCACTGAAGTTGTATGGCTGTAAGGAGGTCGGAGGTTCACTGTCATCAGACATACGCCTGGTAGAGAGGGCTGGTTACGTTTTTATGATCCTCGCATTCCCCTGGCTTGTTTTATGTAATGTGACCGGCAAATTTTCGGTACCTTTGATGCAGACATGTCTCTCATTTTCTGATCTTACTTTGTTTCTTCTTTTTTTCATTTTCAACTTGGTTCCCTCCTATAATAACATTGGAGAGATGGGAGATAATGGCTGCGTAGAGCAGAGAGAGGGACAGAATGATAAAACCTCAGGTAGATGAGAAGGGGTTCATAAAACTTTACATTTTTACAAGAGGTTAAGGTCTTGTAAGATGTAAAACCGCCCATATCGCTTGAAGTTTATCTGTAACGATGACCATCTGTCCCATCCACAAACTCAAATACGATTCGGCGTCCAATCTCCATACATGATGCACTTCCGTCTCCTTCAATGAGTTTGTGGCACAAAAATGATTTTCATGAAATTCATCTGAAGACTGTTGGGAGATATGATGATGAAAGATGATTTAAGTTGTTTGTAGCTATTCATCTTCCCAACCACCTGTTAGTCAAATGAAATCTTTCACATGCTCATGTTGTCATCATCATCCAAATGAAATGTTGTTGAGAAGAAGAAGAGAGAGAGAGGTGGGAGAAAAACAAAAAAAGGGTTATTGTGAGTGGGAAAACATTTGATCATTTCAAATAGTTATGTTTAAATGAATGAAAAAGGAAATAAGCTTTTTGTTTATCCAAATACAGTAATACTCAGAGAGAGAGAGAGGTTGGAGAGAGAGAGGCTGTGAAGAGTCACGCTAGAAATGATTTGAGTTATGATTAGAAGCCATATAGTATCCTATTTCCATACTTGTAACTATATTTGAGAACCGATTATAAGGTTAGTGTCAATAGAGCAGTTCAAATAGTCAATTCGAAGACTGTTTCATTGAAGAGCTATGGATGTGAGAGATTCAAAAAACAATATTTGGAAATTCATTGTCTTCTACAACCTTCTCTCTCTCTCTCTCTCTCTCTCTCTCTCTCTGCCTCTCAGAAGCATTATGAAGGACATCTTGTTCTTTATTCCAAATCACAAGAAGAAGAAGATCATAAAGGCATTTACCATAAACTGTTAATTGCTTCTGTAATTACTGGCGGCTAGCTTGATTCTCATTTTCAAACATACTTTTCAAATGAGAAAGATTTCTATCATAAAAGCTATTTAATGACTGATGATGATTGTCTTTCTCTTTCTCTGATGCTTAACTGTATACCTTTGGAAAGAAGTAATTTGCATATGCGTATGCCACGTGTAATTGAGATGACGTGGATGATGTCTAAGTCATTTTCACATTTATGAGAAAGAGCATAGCGGTTGATTGTTGATACGGTGATTACATCATCATCATGAGATTATTTGCAGAATACCAAATATGAATGTGAATGCACAACATTATGCTGGGATATAGTAGCATCAGGTGATACAATAGATTGGTTATCAATATCAATCTCTGAATGTCCTCCACAATTCAATGAAACAACATTTCGAAGAAAAATATCCGCTTGGATAAATGAAGGTAACTAGTACATCCTCACATCCTCATCTCTTTCCTCTATTATAGAATGTAATTCAGCTTTAACATGTAATCTCAATCATTTACTAACTGAAAATGAAATTCTAATCGGAGAGTATTCATGTCAAACAGAGCTCAAGGAGATCCGCATCTTAGCTTTAAGGAATGCTTCCAATCCCATTGAACACAGTATGTTTCATTCCTTCTCTTCTCTTCTCAACTCATCATCATCATGTCTTCTTCATGAGGTTAACCATATATAGAATAAGTTTTGAATATTTTTACAATATCCATATAAATTCATGGCAATTATGAAACTATTAACGGATTAGAAGAGTTTTATCTTTTGGTTCATCGACACGACTGACCTCACTCTCTTCTCTAACTGTCTTTTACCATTTCAATTAGCTATTCTTCAAACTTTCCATCTAAATACAAACTTTACAAATACAGATTTTTGTATTATTTCACATAACCATATAGAGAAGTTGTTGACCTTCGTTGTCAAGCCTCACTCATCTACTGTCATTTCAATTGTTTGAAAGTTCCATACAAGAAAGCTGACAACCTATGTCACGTGAAAACGGTTAGAGAGTTAATTGCATTCCTAATATGGAATTTTCAAAATTGTTATATCCAATTAGATGCACCAGATGGTATATCATCGTCATTAAACCATAACTTCTGATATCACATCTCATCTAAGATAATGATGCTACTGCCTCCTACCATTTCCTTATTTCTGTTCAATGCGTTATGCATTGAGCATGAGGATGACACAGTCTTCTCAAATTGGCCGACTCAAAGGAACTGCATCGAGTGAATCATTTCCTTCTCCCCGAAAAAAAACTTTTTCTCTTGTTGTTTTCCAACCATCACAGAACTCTCGATGTAAAGAAAGAATGAAAAAAACATATTTCCTCTTCAGACAATGTTATTCCTTCAAATCTGATTGGGCAAGTCATACAAAGCCGTGAGCATCTTCTGTCGTTTTTACTTCATGCTGATCTGCAAGCTGTAACTCTCCATAGACGATTCCGAGGTTTGAGAAAGATGTTCAGACTGTTTCAAGTCCTTCTCTTACTTGCAGTCAGCAGTGAAGTCCAAAAGGAATCATTGAGATGGTCAATGGTCGTCTTAAGTATCATATTCGCTGTTTTCTTATTCATAATTGGTTCAATCGTCTATTTTTCTCAAATTTACATCAATTGGAAGAGAATAGTGAAAGGCAAATGGCAATGTAAGGAATATCGAAAGGTATAGTCAAATGAACAAGATAGATAGTCAATAGACGAATTGATGTCTTCAGGTACCGAACGTTCGTTACAGCGTTGATGAGATTGAGACCGGAGGACACATATGAGAATTTAGAAATTCATCTTAATGACTTTCTTGCAATTTACAAGAGCTTTCAACATATGTATGTATATTTCTATGTATAATTAATAAATATATTTATTCCTTTAATATTCACCTAACCTTTAACAAGCTTTTGGCTGACTTCTCCTCTCTATCCGACCATATTTCCTGTTACGTTCAGAGGAAGTTAGGTGAGGGGGAGAAGCAAATGAAATGAAATCATAAATCTCTCTCTCTCACACATTCTACTACTTGTTAACTATTTGGCAACAATGAACAATCCATTTGAGAGAATTTATCGTTGCTCTCAGCTGATAGCCGGATCAGAAGCTATAAACGATGATGAGAAGGTATGTGTGTAGTTGCATATATGAATTGAATAGATGCGATTGAGGAATTTATACGTTTATTCACTAACTTGTCTATCATACCCACATCAACAATGAAAGAAGCTCGACAATTATATCATATAAATGATGTATAGTATATATATTTGAATATCACATAGATAACTTCTATTCATAGGTTCAACGATGTTATTTATGTTTGTGTGACAATGAGAGTATTGAAATGATACAATACAAATGCAATTATGAATTAGCAAGAAGAGATATCATTGAAAGGTACTTCCTTATAACAAGATAATCACATTATCTTTCTTCTTCCATATATGGCTTATAGAAAGAAATATCTTATAAAGCTTTTCAAATCGGCTGTTATCACATTCACCAGAAGACGTCTGTGCTTGGAAAAGAAGCGACGTAGGTTTCATTTATACATTCATACACACGGAGAGAGAGAGATAGAAAGAGAAAACAGTTCAACCGGCCTGTACATATGCATACAATCACAATAATCAGCATCATCATCATGATTAACATCAAATATGCTAATTAGACGTATGACGTAATCATTTATGTTAATGAACTTGAACAACACGTGTCTTGACTGCTGTCACTTTCGTTGTATCTGATTTACAGCATAGAATATGCTTCATAACAGAAAAATCCTTTTTTGTCGCCGGTGGCACACTTCGATTGAGATTGACAGAAACATTCTGTAACATGTAATGTTCAAACATTCAAAGTATCTATCTGAATACCTTTCCTGTAGCTACGAACAACGGCCCAATGCGACTGTCATCATTTTCATTTTTTGATGAAATAATTCCCATTCAGCTCTATAAATAATAATATTTTAACTATATGTAATAAATTAACGACAATTGAGAAGATATTTGAAGGATTGGAAAATCCATATTGGAGATTCTTGATGGAACACGAAGAGATTGCGGTGAAGCCAAAGAGGAAGCCACGCAACAAGCCGCATACTTTTAAGGTAAAAAACAAGCAGACAACAGATGATAGACATCATCATTCAATTATATCCATTTAAGAAAGCTGTTAAACGAGCTATATTGGAGTACAAGCTTAATGCAAAAGCTGGCGATCCTTGGGACATATTCTTTTACAAAGTTTATACATATAATGATTGAGAGATGTAGATAGAGAGAGAGAGAGAGATGTACAGAGAGCGATGTATAGAGAGAGAGAGACAGTTTAAAAACTCAATGAACGTCTTGTATATAACGAAAAACAATAAAAATTAAATTTTTTCATCTAAAATATATTTAAGTTAATAATAAGAAAAGTGTATTGTAATATATGGAAAAGAACAATCTGTTCGTATTGAGCAGGCAGTATCGAGCAAGCAGGCATTGTGTGTGTAGGCAAGGCTGAATGGTTCGTTGGATGAAGGCAGAGCAATGAGGAGGAGATGAAGAAAAAAAAAGAAAATTTTTAGTCACACACAATATCAGAATCGGCTTAATAGCTGAGGAAATTGCTTCTTCTATAATATCGGAAGTAACTGACGTATTTTCAAATGAAATTTTAATAGAAAGTATTCTCTTAATTGATTATGAGCTTTATCCCAAAAATAGGCATTGCGATAAGTCATAGGCTGAGGGCTGCTCTGGCTGCTCCTGCTGCTGCTTGCTGTTTCTTAGAAAAATC